GCTGGGGATTCGAACCCGCCACCTTAGGTGTACGTGGCTGGCGCCTTAGCTGGTTGAGCTATAGGCGCCGAGCCAAAACCAGGCTTTTTAAAGTCAGCAAAAAACAGACTGAAAGCAGAATCACATCTCGTCACTATAATTGTTTCCAAGCACCAAACCCAACTAAGAGTGCTATAAGCATCTTTTAACTGCAGGTAAATGCAAACTGCAGTCAAAGTCTCTCAGGTTAAATTTGCATTTCTTATCCTAAATTGTACAGCTATAAACAACCTATTGCTCCAAATCAAGCATGCATGTGAGAGCACGTGTGCATGTGCACACACACACACACACACACACACATACATGTACACAGGGACACATGCAGGCAAAGAAAATCTGGGCACACTGTTGACAATGATTTACATTACCTAAAAAAATCTTGGAATTCCTCCTTTTTGGTAAAGCTCCACCAGAGGCCCCTCTTACTTTCTGAAAAGAAAATAAACAGATCATTAAAACGCAGCCTATAGAATAAATAATTTGGAGGGAGGGTCAAAGTACAACTCAGAGGTTTTTATAAAACGCAAAGAGGAAATATTCAATCTGAACTAGCAATTCTAGGTCAACGCAGGAAGATAAAAAGCAACACCATTGTCCATCCTCATTGTTTTAACCAAGTCATAGGGAAAGCACTTCTGAAAAGGGAAGTGGAGACCAGGGGTCAAGGTGAAGTAGATGCTTAAACTTCAATCAACACATGCTCCCCAAGAGGGTTAGAGTCCAGGCTTAATGCCAAGGAGACTCAGGAAAAACAGTGGTGGCTCCAGGAAGTCAGGATCTTATTCTGAAAGTTGGTCCTTTTAACTATTATTGAAAGATTTAATAAATATCGACATATAATCACCGATATTCTGGCCATATTAAACCTCAGTCTAACCCCCCTAAACATTTTTTTGGAGCACCAACAGGTAGTCACAATTGCCATCCTAAGGTACACATACTCTCCACATATACTACAAGTCCTCCGCAGTGATGAAATCAACACCCAGCGAGTGCTCATAACAAAAGAGGTCATTCATCTGATGCTCACACAGAACATTTTACTCTCCAATGGAGTACAGTGATTTTTCTTTCAAATGGGCAAAACCATATTTCTATGTTGTATGTTTTCTCAGTTACTATAAAATAAAAGCAATTTCCTTTGTTTTTTGTTTGTTTAGAGACAGAGTCTCACTCTGTCACCCTGGGTAGAATGCCCTGGTGTCAAAGCTCACAGAAACCTCAAACTCCTGGACTCAAGCAATCCTCTTGCCTCAGCCTCCTCTAAGCAGCTGGGACTACAGGTGCTCAGCACAACACCTGGCTTCTACTTTTAGTAAAGACGGGATCTCACTTTTGCTCAGGCTGGGTTTGAACTCTTGAGCTCAAGTGACCCACCCTCCTCGGCCTCCCAGGGTGACAGGTGTGAGCCACCGCACCCTGCAAAAAGCACATTTCTTTCTTTCTTTCTTTCTTTTTTGAGACAGACCCCAGTGTGCGAGTCCACCCCTGCACCTTCCAAGCACCCGCGCGTATCAAAGCTGCACTTCCACTGCTTTACTTGTCCCCACCTCGCTAGGAGTCTCTTTGCCGCATTTTATTATTTGATTTGAAGGCTGACCCTTCCTTGTGATTCTCCCATCAAGCTTTCACAGGTTCTACTGTAGGTTTACAGTTCACAGCTTGGGAATCGGAAAATGACAGAACACTGCAGCTCATGAACTTACCCCTCCAAATACTAATGTCACAGACACAACTCCCCTCCCAAAGTCCCTCTGCTCATGGCCTCAGAGCCTGGAAAGGTCTCTGCAGAAATGCATGGTGTCCTCTCAGCTCTTCTGCACTGAGAGGGAGAAGGAGAGGAGCGGCTGCAGGAAGGCTTGCTAGAACGTAAGGCTGTCCCTGATTGTGGGGTTCACGCCTCAGACTTGTACCAGATCCACCTCCTGTCAGATTAAAAAAAAGTAGGACTTCCTTCTAAAGGAAGGAAGGAGTCACCTCTGCTCCTCTGCCTGTCAGCAACAGACACCAACAAGGTTTAAGAAACTAAAACTCCTCAGTCAGCAAATAGGACTGGTGCCTCCACGGGTACAACCGGAATGAAGAGACATCCTATCTTTTGAGGAGCTCAGCCAGGGAACATGCAGATTCTAGAGAGTGTGAAGAGGGCTCAAGGAAAGATACAATCATACTACCAGAAGAAAGCCATCAGTTCATCTGGGGGTGGGGGGTGGGCAGGGAACCAGAGCAGCAGTCCTGCCATATAGCAGCTACTTGGTAAATATTTGTTGGGTGGAGGAATGGATGGCTGGGTAGGAGAGTGGACAGATGGATGGGTGGGTGGATGAATGGATAGGGTGGTAGATGAATAGGTGAGTGGATAGAAGGGTGGGTGGACATATAGATGGATGGATGGGTAACTTAATGGACGATAGGTAGATAGGTAGTGAACGGATAGATGGGTGAATGGATGAACAGATAGGTTGGTAGGTGAGCAGATAGATGGGTGGTGAATGGACAGATAAATGGATAACCTAACCACAGGGAGTGAAAGGTAAAACAGGAATAAGGGTAGAAGTTAGGTATCTGGAGGAGAGAATTATTTGGAAGTCATCAGCTTAGCGAGATCAATTAAACAGGGATATGGGTGATACTGGTGAGGAGAGCATCTTCCAGAGGAAGAAGACAGGATGGGCAAATGGCATCCTGTGAGATGCCAATAAGTAACAGGTAAATAAAAGAAGGGATGTTAAAGAAATAGAAAAAGGGCAGGAGAAAAGTTAAGAAAGAATGATGCCCAAAAAAGCAGAAGTGGAACAGTCCCAAAGGAATAAAAAGCTCCAACATTAAATATCGATGAAGTCACGTAACAGTGAGGCTGAAACGTGTCCACCAAGCGTGGCAACCAGGAAACCACTGATGGCCGGGGCAGTTTTAGTGGAGTAACAAGATCAATCCACACGCAATGCCAAGCCTTAATGGGAGATGCAACAGAGACAATGAGAACAGAAAAGTTTTTAAGGAAGCCTTAATGGAAGGATGTGCTGACTGAAGGCCGTCACAGACTAGAGGGATATTTATGTGGTGTTTTGTTTTTTAAGGTAGAAGAAAAGAAGCCAGAAGAGGGAGAGGCTGCAGCTGTCAGTGGGGGCAGAGTCGAGTGTCCCGAGGTAGGAAACAGGACCCTGAGGACACACAGAACACAGCTTTCTGCTGAGATGGACTCTAAAGTGGAACCAGATGCAAATGAGTTCGCAGGACACATAGGAAAAATAAATTGAGTTCCTGTCTGGGGGGGTCCCTTTTTTTCTGCAAAGTACAGGTCAAAATAGTTTTAAGAGGCTCGGCGCCTAAGGCTCAAGTGGCTGGGGCACCAGCCACATACACCTAAGCTGGCAGGTTCAAATCCAGCCCAGGCCCACCAAACAATAATGATGGCTGCAACCAAAAGAAAATGGCCAAGTGTTGCGGCGGGCGCCTGTGGTCCCAGCAACTTGGGAGGTGGAGGCAGGAGACTCGCTTGAGCCCAGGAGTTGGAGGTTGCTGTGAGCTGTGATGCCACGGCACTCTACCCAGGGGGA